AATCCCAAAGCCTTGATGAAATTAGTTTCCATGGGGATTGCCTGTAAGAAAATATGCAAAATTGAACCAGGAAAGATTGGAATATAGAAGCCCAATAGTGTGAATTTCTTTTACCTTCTGCTGATCACTTCAATGCATAGGCTTAAAGAAACACCACAATTACCGGTTTTCTTTCATTTCGGACGTTGGGCCTTCCATTATTTGACCCTCATCCTCCCTCTCATTTTTCCATGTCAGTGGATGCTATTCCAATGTTGTTGTTTTTGTTGTTGTCGTGGTTGTTGTTGTTGCACTGCCTTGGACCGAAACCCTTTTTCAAAAAGACGGAAAGAGCGATGAAAACGCGTCTGCGCGCGTTCGTGTTTCAAAAAGGATCACGTCGGTTTGGGAGAGTGGCTCGGCGGCGTCGGACACGCAAAACAGTGCTGCCGGCGTGCGCGCTGTCGTCGTCGCAGTAGTAGCCGTCGTCCCTATCCGAAAACATTAATTTGCATATTGGATGTCGATGGCGAACCGACTGACGCGCGCGCGCACAAGGCCCTCTCTAAAAACCGTCACGCTTGAGGCAATTCTCTAAGCGGCAGTCCGAGGCGATTTCGGCGGTCCCATTCAGTTCCCAACGCTGTGATTTTTATAAAAACGCCGCCCTCTCAATTGTCGCCGACAAACGCAACACTCGCACAAAAAATATTCGCAACACGCCACATGCTTTTTTTTTTCAATGGAAACCGATAGGCAACCGCCGCCGACGACCGATGGCCATTGGTGTGGCGCGGGGCAACAACGACGACGGCAGTGGCGTTGAAAATAGAAAAATTGAACAGCTTGCGGAATGACAGAATGAAAAATTGTCGAGTTTGCCGAGGGTCGAGGATGAGCAAGAAATGGGTTTTTTTCGTGCAAATGTCATCGGAGACACTCGTTTTTTTTGCGACCCATTCTCCAATGTTTCGAGAGAAAAAAAAACGGGTCGGATGTGTTTGTAGTCGAATCCAATTATTTTTTTTTGCTGACGAAACAAACACTCGAATTAATGAGCAAAAAATGTTGCGAAACGTGGGCACACTTAAGGAAGAGGAAAAAACCCAGAATGGAATGGAATGAATGAATTGAATAGAAGAGTGCGCGACGATCCAAGTTGGGTTCGTCGTGCTCCTCATTAATTTTTTTCCTTCCTGCCTGGTTCTTGGAAAAAAACAAGTCATCCTACCAAACAATCCCATTCGAAAGGCTTCCAGACAAACAGGATGACCTTTCAATATTGAATAAATTCAAAAACAAAAATCCAACTTGAAAATTTTTTCTAGGCGCTCACGATCCTTAATGAAACGCACTTTGTCAGAATTTCTATGAATCTGCCTATTGCTTCAAATAACTTTCCAAAGCCCCCATGCAAATATTAATATACACCATTTCTCTCATTTCCAACAGTAAGTTCGTTTGATATACATTTTGCGGGTCCTGTCCATTATCGCAAAATGTTTGGTGCCACCCGACGACCGTTCACCGATAGATAACTGAACGAGAAAGGAAGACCTTTTCTCATCCATCTGTTTATGATTATTATTATATTCATTATTATTATCGTAGTTCTCTTTTCGTCAATTTTCTGCGCGCGATGCCGAAACGCAACACAGTTTTATCGTATTTTTGGTGCCCCGATGCGTTCATTCTCCGGTTTCCAAGCGCTATCTCGCTCGTTTGGCATGTTTGCTGACCTTAAGTGACCGTTCCTAAACATGTTGATAAAACCTTGAGGGCAAAATGACCATATATGAATAGCGGACCGTCGGCGGAGTGCGCAGAAATGACGGACGGATCGGTCCGCGGGTGGTGGCGCGCCCCCTCCGACCCGCCCGCGGGTGTGTCACACGTGAAAAACATTGGCGGACCTCGGAGAGAGAGGGGGGGGGGGCCGAAAATTCTTCTTTTTCCCGCGAGTGGGAATAACACAACCAATGGACAGCCGGCGGGTCAGAGCCGAATAAATATATTATATGTGTATACGCATATTTCTCTCGCTCTCGCCTGTAGGTCTTTTCCGCGGAACAACGTTCGGCAAACGTTGCTGCGCGCTCGCACTTTTCCGTACTATTAACGAGGAAAACGGCAGGGTGCGCGCGATCTTCTACCACCCCCCAATCCCCCCCCCACACGCCACCCTCACGGGGTGGTTTTTCCGCGTTGTGGGTGGTCTGCGCACTCAGCCGTTCGTTTGATTTCTCGTTTGTTTACTCGATGCACTATGTTTCCAGCCGCCTAACTAACAATAACGGATTTTTGGAGGCAGTCCACGATGCCCCGCCCACTTTTTTGAGGGGCCTCTCTCCTCTCTCGGCCGCTCTCGTTGCAGGCAGCCGTCCGCCGCAAAACACAAGAACACAGCATAACAAAAATGACCGCTGGCTATTTGGGGCCACCCCTTGGTGTTTTTATTATTATTATTCTTTTCATTTGTTTCCTACCTTGGTTTCCTCGATGGTTGGTTCCTGCTCGATCTTTTTCTTTATTGTAACACATCTTCTTGCTCGCTCATTGTTTGAGAAACTCATAAAACATGAGGCCAAATCTCGTCGCAGTTTTATTGCATGTTTGTTGCGGCCATACATCCGCAATGGCCATTCGTTCTTCCCATATCTGGGGTCCAATGTCTGCTCCTTCTTGTGCTTCTTCCAATTTTTTTGTAGTTTGAAACCAAAAAAATGTATTTTTTTGGGGTCTCTCATATGCTCCCCTCATTTGCATATTCCCAAAAAAGCTGCATCTAGTTAGCTTGAATGGTCGAATTGGAGTCGACGCGCACCATGATACATGGCTTTTTCGAAAACGTCTCATTTCATTGCGCCTTGGCGATTAAAATGAAACATCTGGCGATGGATGGTAGTCGAACGAAAAAGTGGTGCTCGATACATTCGTTTTATTCAAATTTTTTCCTGCAGGGCGCCCATCCGCCGGCGTCGTTGTCGTTAATCTCATCCGCGCGCGCGCGCGCCGGCTGTTCCTACTGTTTCTTCAGATACCACAAAAATGATTCGCGTCTGCTGCTGCTGCTGGTGGTGGTGGTGGTGGTGATCCTGACCTATTTCATTTTGTCAAAAAATTTCTTTGTGTTCATCAAATTTTTCGTAGGTGTTTTCTTGCAAAGGACACACACACATTCACTGAGACGCACGCGCAATCATCCTCGAGTGACCCTAATTTTTTTCCTTCATCAATTTTTTTTCTTTTTCTCCGCTGTCGCTGATCTCGCAATATCTCTTACCTCCCACTACACCCGATGTTGTTCGGATTACAAAAAAACTGAGAGGGTTACACTCATCGAACGTAGTGGATGGAAACAAAAAACGGGCCCCCTCCCTCCCCGCGACCCTGACAGGCGGATGCCAAAAAACTAACAAGCGGCTCGGCGGGGAGAAAAAAGGGGGGATAGAAAACGGGCAAAAAAACTTGTGTTTTTTTTTCACTGTTGGGTCTATTGACAGTAACGAGAGATGGAGACGAGAAAAAAAACCTGCACGCACTTTTACCGTCCTCATTTTCCGTTCTGCGTTTCGTTCTCTCTTTACGGTTTCGCCCCGTAGCGATCTAGTGCCGTCTACCGTTCATCATCATCATCTTCATCTCGTTGGCTCCGCCCATCGACTACACCTTCAACCATTTTTTGTCAGATCTTGCGCATTCGAGATTCCGCACTCGCGAGTATTTTTTTGCGGCGGGGTGTCTCGATGCGTTGTTTTTCACAGTGTATAGAATCTTTGGTGCCTTATTTCCAGCCACCAATGCCCTTCCTTCACTCATTTTTTGCATTGTTATTATTTCGAGCAGCTATTCTTCTTCCACACCTCGATGATATTCAAATTTACAATGATTGCGTTTCAGGTGTGTTGCTTGCTTCATTGGGGTACCGAACGTGTATGAGCAGATTGAATGTCGCAAATAGAAGAAGCAAAGGGCGGATGGCCACCTCACCACGAAGCATTGGCTCATTTGGCAACCCACGCACCAATTCAGGTAAGAATGGAAATGAATTCATAATAATATATGCAGAGGTGAAATCCTTTTGTTTTGATGCCCTCAAAAAGTGGGGCACAAAAAACGCAAACGACTTAGGCACCGCTATTTTTGAATCACTTGATCAATGTCCGCTTCAAGTGCAGACGACGACGACGAAAAAAAAAACATCTTCGTCGAAAACAAGACAAAAAAAAATGGGGCGTCGAGAAAACCTAGTTAGCGTTTTTGTTTCGCTTCGCATGCAGATCTCATCTTCCTATCTGTGGGGTGTTGTTTCTTCAGCGCAGCCGCGCGCAACATCAAAAAAATGGCTTGTTTCGTTTTTTTTTGGCTGGAGTGCGATTCGCCTTTGTCTTCTTTCGTTTTTTTTGCTGCGCTCTTTTTTTAGCGCAACTCTTCGTCGTCAGTCAGAAATTCATGGATTTTCTCGTCAAGAAAAAAAAGAAGGGAGCATACGAGAAACAACAAAAAAAGGGCTGGGACATTCATACACACTTTCGCATTCATTTCACCCCAAAGATCATGCATGTTATTCTTGGAAAAAAAAAGAAAGACGTGGGGGAAAAAACGCGATGTTGTTTTTCTTCGGATGGCTCTGTTCGTCCTTTTGTCAACAACCCCCACTCAGTTTTCTTCATGCGTGCAGCTTAATTTCGAAAAAGTGCAGGCCTTTTTTTCCAGACTCGAAAAATTGCCAAATTGTTTTCGTTTTGTCTTTTTTTTTCAATTCTGCACTATACGCAATCATTTTGTTTTCGACCCAAGAAAAAGAAGGGAATAAAAAAAAACATACATAGCCATATCACATGAATAAATTAGACAGGCGCGCTTGCACGAGGGGTTTTTTAATCATGGAATGCCCTTAATTCAACCTTCTTTTTTTTTCACTATTTGTTTAAACTTTCAGTTGCTCGATAACATTTGATTGTCCGCCAATTTTTTTTCGAATCATAAAAAATTGTGTTTCATCAGAATAAATTGCGATTATGTTTCAGGCTGCTAGGCCAACTGATAATGCTCAAGGAGCGTTTCATGTGATGCCACAACCTTCATGGAACTTCCCAGTACCGGCGCAAATCCGAGAATTCGCCAATAAACAACCGCTTCTTGGGTATAAAACTTCGAGTTTGAAATAATGGAAACACCCTATTTCAGAACTGAATGGCAAGCTCAATCGGAATGGGCGGCCAACAACAACAAGCTGACCGATTGGAGTAAATGGTCGACATCGCAACAGGCAGCTGGTGGCAATCCAGAAATTCATCGACCGATGCCGACGTTTGCTGGATCGTCGCTTTCGACGCTCATCCCATCGTCGTCGAATTTGCCGGGTGGCGAGCAAAGAACACCACACGTGACATTTGTCAGCCCGAAAGAAGACGACCGGAAGAGCAGCGAACATCATACCAATTCCTATGATGGTTCGGCGTCGCAATCGCCGAACAACAATGATGACGCGGCGACCAACAGCAGCGAGGAGCAAATCGATGTGGAATGTATGCCACATAAAGAGGAGTCGACACCGACGAAGACTGAAGTGAATGAGGAGGAGATGCCTGAGGAGAAACCAGGTAATTTCATCGACATTACCCTTGATACTAATACCGTAATTGTTGCAGAGGAGCCACAAATTCGCAAGTCGGTGATTGATTGCCACAAGCCGACCTTGGAGGAGACCAAACTTCTTTTGAACTTCTCGCAACAATCATTCAACGATAGCGTTAGCGCGAAATCGTCTATCTCTCCATCAGCTCAGTCGACGGATGGAAAGAATGAGACCGTTGGATTCTTGCACAGTGGAAACAGCGCGTTCTCCAATATTGGATCGGTTTCGCAGCGTACACCATCTCGAGACAGCGCAATGCAGGAATCTGGAACCACTGGCAATACTTCATCATTCTGCCGAGCTCCTGGACTTGGACCAGCGGCGGCACCACCACCATCTAATGGCGGTGCAACACCATTAGTGTGCCCAATTTGCGGTTTCTCGTGTCCGTCGAAATTCCACTACAATAGCCACATGAACACTCATGGCGATCATCAGTGTACTATGTGCGACTATACTAGTAGAACTGAAGGACGATTGAAGAAGCATATGCGCGAGTCGCATACTGTTGAGGAACAATTGAAAGCTGGACTTGAGATTGAGCCGAAACACGAGAAAGCACAAGCTCTTGCCCAGGCGCAAGCGCAAGCTGAAGCCAAGGCCAAAGCCAAAGAGGCTGAGAAACAGAAGAATGATTCCCACCTTTTTGCAAACTTGTCGACTACTATGGCGAGCATTCTTGATTCTACGGCTACTGCTTTTGCTGCTTCGATGGCACAAACTGATGTAAGCATTTGTTGTCTAATTCCATAGCATTCAACATTTTTTTCTTCAGACGAAGCCCACTTTCGCTCAATCAATTGGACTCGATCCTGTTGCCACTTCCAATCTACTCTCGAACCTGAGCCAACGCAATGCGTTGACAACTTCCGCACTTGATCAGATTCGTGCCTTCACTGAAAAGTCGAATCTTCTTCCGGAAGGCGGTTTGAACTTGGCATCGGCACTCGGCGCGGTTTCTCAGGCAATTTCTGGCGAGTCGACTAAAATCGTCGAAAAAGTAATCAATTTGTTGAGAGCGTTGAGGAAATAAATGAGACGTGTTTCAGAATAGCGAACCGCGACGCAGCAGCAGCGGAAAGGTCAAAATTCTCAAGTGCAAACAGTGTGGACACCAAAGCATGTCGAAGAATGAGCAATGGGCGCATGCTCGAACCCATATTCCAGCCGAAAAACAGCTCAACTGCGACCTTTGCAATTTCGTAACGGAATACAAACACCACTTGGTAGGAATCTCATCGAAAAATTGGGATGATTCAATTGCTGGTTTCAGGAATATCACTACCGTAATCACACCGGAAGCAAACCATTCCAATGCAAAAAGTGCTCATACACCTGCGTCAACAAATCGATGCTCAACTCGCACATGAAGAGCCATACCAATCATTATCAGTTCAGATGCGTTGATTGTACGTATGCAACAAAATACTGTCATAGTTTGAAGGTCAGTGATAAAACGAAATTCGAGATGGCAATCTTGAAATTTCAGCTCCACTTGAAAAAGTACAACCATCGACGTGTGCCTGAAGGCAGTGAATTGAGCGGTGGCGACTCGTCGCCATCTCTCGGCCAGGTCGACACTGCTGCCCCAGCGTATAACGCCTTCGGCAATGTTGAAGTCAAATTGGAAACCCCAACGCCAACCTCGATCGCGCAATCTCTTGGTTTCACGCCAATGGTTAACAATCAAAGTCTCACCTATGCCAGCCAAATGCTGCTCAAGCAACACCAAATGGAAGGTCTTAACCCGCTTCTCTCACTGGGAAACCTGAACACATTGACTACAACGGGCTCCATCCCAATGAAGTGTCCAATGTGCGACTATCAGTGCACCTCGCATGAGGATCAAATCAAGCACAATATGAGCCATTTTATGAACAACGCCACCCCAACCACCCTCGCAAATTTTTATTCCACCTTGGTCCAGCCGTCTTCTCTCGCCTTGACCAACACTTCCAATGAATCCGAGACCGCTATGGAAGTGACTGAGGGTGACGAGCGAGAGAATGATCAAGATCATGAAGGCAGTGGTCACGCCGGAGATGATGAAATGGATCAAAGCGATTGCGCTGGATCGCCGACGGGCAGCTCGAAAGGCTCGAGCGATGAGGAGCTCCAAAGAAGAAAGGCGTTCAAACTTGAGCAGATCAGCCAAAGACTTCAGGGAAAGAGCCCAAGCAGCAGCGAAAGCGTTGTTGACAACCATGAAGAGGTAAACAAACCCAAATGTTGAGCAATGTCTAATTTGTCTTGTTTGAAGAGACTTGTTGAATCATCGGTTTCTCCATCGGAGCCAATGAGCGATCCGCCACCGGTCCGTGTCCCACTTCCAATTGTTCCGTTCAACGAGACGCCATTGATGGTCAACACATCGCAACCAAGTCAACTCAACAATCTTCTCCAGCAAGCCTGCTTGGCTTTCAATGCACTCAATGTAAGGCAATTTTCGACACGCGTTACGCCTCAATGTTTGCATGGGAATTTTCAGGCTAAGCGCGAAGATAATTCATATAGCTTCACTTGCCCGCATTGCAGAATGGCGTTCCAGGTTTGAAAATTCCCAGCGAATCAAAAATTGTGATATTAATTTGATGGCATTTCAGGATCAAGCCCTTTACCATATCCATATGGGCTACCATGGATACGAGCACGCCTTCAAGTGCAATCGGTGCGGTTTCACAGCCAATGACTCATTGAACTTCAACCTTCATCTTCTTCAAGCTTCCCACGAATGAATCCCAAATACTTAATCAATATTCGTAATTACTTAAAACGTTTGTTTCGGCTAGATTTTGATCAGCTTAGATGTTATCCTTCTCTCCACTCTTTACGTTCTTAATCAATCGGGCACACTTGTTTTGTTTTGTTAATATACTGGCCAATTTCTTGCAAATCAATACCGAAATCTCAAATGTTGCTGATAATTTATCCAATTGTTGTCACATCTCTCCTATTCATCGGGATATGCGTGATTAATTTATTCGAAATACCTTGTTTTTAACATATTTCAAACGTTACATGTAATCCCTTCCCACCTTGATGTTTTTTTTTTTGTTCTGCTGAAACCAATGCTCTCTAAAGTTTCCTCCCCAATTTTTTAAAGTTAAAACGTGTGCCACATTCGGAGCAAATTGATGTTGAACTTTTTTTTCCTTGTTTCAATTTTTGTCTTGTCAGGTATTGAAGTTGACGTTTTGAATCCGCCGATATTGTTTCATTTTATTGTTAAACTCTCAAATCCAACGCATTTCCAATCAGTTAAAGCTAATCGAAAAAATTTAGCTTTAATTTGAATGTCTTTCCTGTCTTTTTTGTTTTCTTCAAACCTGAGCCTCACCCCAAAATCAACCAAATCACCTCTCCAAAAAAAAACATCCCAAATTAATGTAAGTGAGATGCTTGCATTAGAACTTGACCTCTTCAATTCGACAAATTTTGTTTCGTGTTTATCTGATGTACGGTTTTGAGTGTCCTCACCGAGGACTCAGGGAATTGTAGCGTTGTTCGACCGTTTAAGGATCATCACCTCTATCGTATATGTCTGTCTAGTTGTCATTTCAATTCCTCGTGATTACATTAATCAACACCCATCCCATCCCAACGTTTGAAATTGACTGAAGCTAACAAATTTGTATGCCATTTCCCATCATCTATATATATATTTTTTGTGTGCGGATTCTATATTTACTCATTTATATCATTCATGAAAATCCATTGAATTGCAAACTCAGGACCCATTTTCTTGTATTACTTGTCATTCTGTAACGACGACACTTCCTCATTTGATTTCTTCCTCTCTATTCGATGACATGTATTATATAGCTCTTGTTAAAGCTTTTATGCCCATCTCATTTTGTATGATTTCTACCTCAACCATTATGCCCTATACAACCGTTCCACCTCAACCAGCCAACCCATGGAATCGATTTGTACAATAGTTAAAGTCTATGCTCTCGTTTACTCTCGTTATTTTCAGTTTAATCTTCATTTCTATTACATATAAATATATAATGCATTGCAATTCGTGTTGTTTTGTTCGCACACATAAAAAAAAAGCGGATGAGTCGACATGTGGAATTCAAACGCCCGTTTCGAAGATTTATGGACGAAAGCCTACTGACAGATGTTTGGTTTCGTAATAGGAGGCCGAGTAGAGAAAGAGCAAAAAAACAAGTCATTTCACGGGCGGACAGATACTTGTGTAAAGCGCAGAGACAACTAAAAATAGATTGTCCGAGAAGATTGCGAAAATTGGCTCAATCAGATGAAGCTCAAGACGGCTAATTCGCGGAGAACACTCTGCTCATCGAATTCTCGATATATGCCTCGCAAAAAGAAGGGCTGGTGTCACTAATTTTCCTTAAAATGGTTTCAGCAGTATTCAGAAAAAAAAACGCATCGCTCCATTTCTCAATCCATTATGTTGAGAATACGATAGACAATAGATGACCTACAAATCCGTTTTTTGCTTTGTTGGGCCTCGTTAGTCACTGAATGCTATAGTCGCAATTTTTGGCGTATATACGAGGATCAATTATCTCTTTTTGGATGTTTCTGCAAAATTTTTCGAATTAGAAAAATGAGAAGTGACGTACTACTTACAATCAAAATTATAAAATGAAGATGGATGATAAATTCGAAAATCGAAGAGGTGGAACCAAATCTCAGAGTTTTTATCTTATTCAGTGACCTCTAGAATTGACAATTTGACTGATTAGCATTTTTTTAAGTAAACGATTCTTTTACGTCATGTATCGCCAAAGACCAAAAAAATAACCTTGAATAGTTAGAAAAATGCTAAGAGATTTTCAATGGGATATGAATGAGATATCCGATTTATCACGTTATAGGTAGCCTTGACATTCACAAAAAAACGAAAAAAAAAGAACAAAACATTTTTTCCAAATTGGGGGATTTTATTCAGCAAAAAAGTAAATGAAAAACAGTTTCGTTGCGACACAACATGAATCAAATTTCCTTGGAAAATAAGAAAATATATTTGAAAAACCATTATTCTAATAGAACTCAATATAAAACGCGTTCAAAGTCTACATAAAAACATTTAAAATCATAATGCACTTTCGCATTATTTTTCATCATTTTTAGTCATAATATTGTGCTACTACATAGTACGTTATGTTGGCTGAATATCAATACCATAACATATTTGCCTAATCAATGTCCAGCACAAGACACAATTGATAAGAGTTGCGAAACACTTGTCGTCTTATTACCATAATAACAATGTACCCTAAGATGTTGTTCTACTTATTCATTCAGATTCTTCTTTGCGATGCTAAACTAAGATTTGTGCAGATTGTAAGCTTTTCAATTTATTCACATTTTTATGAAGCATTAATTTTAGTGGTTTCGACATGGTGAGCGTTTACCAACTCATTTTCTCAAATTTCCTGAGGAAGATCCAAATGATTTGGAATTTTTGAATATTGGATACCCTGGAGAGCTTACCAACGTATGAATATAATTATTGTCTGTTAAAAAATATTTATAGAATGGCATTTTACAAGAATTTCAACTTGGAGAAAAGCTGAAAAAAATTTACGGATCTCATTTTGGACAAGTATACCGACCAACAGAGTTCCATGTTTTCACCGGAAAAGATAATAGAACATCGACGTCAGCTCAAGCATTCTTTGCTGGATTTATGCCACCAACGAAAAACCAAACGTGGAATCCAGCTCTTAATTGGATGCCAATTGCTCAAGAAACTGATCCATCAATTGATTGGGTTTCAATTTTATTAAAATAACTTGGAAAAAATTGAATTCAGGTTTCTACTGGCGTTTTTGACGACTGTGTCGATACAATTAAAAACTCTGTAGAGTATTTGGATGTCATGATAAATGTAACCAATGCTGATCCTGAATTATTAGAGCTTATCAAGAATAATACTGGTCGAGATTTTAACGCTGTGCTCGAATATAACCACGCAATTGACTCATTAAAATCAAGGGTATTTAATAATTAAAAAAAACAGTGTCAATTTATTTTTGATTAAAGGCGTTGTTAAATGACAAGCGCCTTCCAGTGCCATGTTGGGCCCGTGGATTTGAAAGCCGAATATTCAATATCAGCTACGTCATTCACAACTCAGTTGTTGGCGTTCAAAACACAACGGTTGGATGTATGAAAGAGCAAATCATTGATCAATTCTTATTCGATTTATTCAGCGTACCATGTCGAGCTGGTAATGTCATTCTTTGAGAATTATTTCTTGCGCAATACGACTAAGGGAATTTTTGTGAGCGGGGTAACATTTTCCATCAAAAAAAATTAATTTCGATTCAATTTTTCTTCAGCATGACACCAATATTTTGAATTTGTGGAAAGCTTTCCAATTAGACGGGCATCCCGAGGATATACCTCATTACGGTTCGCATATGGCAATTGAGCTACATGAGATTGAAGGTCGCTTTTTTGTCAAGGTAACCCATTCGAGTAATTACCAATCGCCACCAATAAACAATTCGCAGTTCTTCCTGTCGATGGGCTATGAAACGCAGCAGGCCGAGCTAATCCCCGTCAATTGTTTTGGCAAAACGTGCACCTGGGAGCAATTGAAAAACATTACAATGGTAAACATTAAAAACTATCGAGTGTATAAGGGACTTCGTCAATTTAGAACTGGAGAAAACCGAGGGAAGATTGGTGGTTTGAGTGCAAAGGAATCGGCAAAATGAGCTCTCAAGAATCAACAGTGACGGGTGAGTAGGGAGAGCTGTTTAACACTGGTGGAAACGTCTTTCAGGCACAATGTTTGTGATTCTTGCGATACTACTTTTGGCAACAATTATTCTCGGATTCACCTCATTCTCGTACAAGCGCCAATTGAATAATATGAGAGACCCAGAAAGGGCGAGACTTCTACAGTAACCACGTTTATTATAAATATTTAGTTATTTTTCCGTTTCAATTATTATTATTATTATTATTTGCGCGGAATCACACCAAGTTCAATCAGAGAATGAGCCATGTCGATGAGAGCTTGAGAACTATCTCGAAACTCGATTCCAAGGAGACGGCGTGCCTGAGAATTTATTAGTTTTGTGCTCAATGACAAATTCCTCCATTACCTTTTCATTGCTAAATTTCACTTCTTGGCATAATCTGGGGAGAGCTGTTTTTGATTCAGCGTCAATGAATGAGAAAAGCCAGACGGCAAAGTATGGAGCAGTGAACCTTGGAATCCAATAGCCTTTTCCTCTGAACTCCTTACGAAGCACTTGAGCGATGTCCGAAAACCACATGGATGGCGTGTTCGTGACCTTCAACAATATTTATCATATTCCATTAAATATTCAATGGGCCAACTAGAATGCGTTCGCCGTCAGATTCAGGCCGCTTCATCGCTTCAAAATGCGCGAGCGCAACATCACGCACATCAACGACAGCCATGTTCAATGGCGGAGCAGCTGGCATTTGGCCATTCATGAAACGACGCATCAGCTGCAAAAACGCGCAATTCAATAGATTGATTCATTCGTTTTAATGGAATACCGAAATACTCGCGCCTTGTTCGGTGATGTAGGCTGGTCCAAAAACGAGGGTCGGATTGATGACAGTCAGAGCGAATTTCTTATCATCAGGAAGTTGATCGAGGAAATCCCAAGCCGCTTTTTCAGCCATGGTTTTGCTTTTAATATAGCAATCAATATATTTGCTGTCGAGATTGGACCAGTCATTTTCGTCAAAAACGCGATCTTGCGGATGTCCCTCTGAAAAAATATTTAGGAAAATAGGTACATAAAAAAATTAAATGTCTCAATTTTTGAAGAAAAGGTTTACTAGTGTAACCATCTTATTAAAAATCGTAATTTTTACAGTATTAATAAAATATCTACAATCAAAGTTTAAATATTGATAACCCCTAAAAATCGTAGTGAAAAAACACAAATTGTTTTGTTCTCGAGAAACGCACTGGAATTTGCGATCATATGATTATCTACGGTATTCTTGTCTTACCATTCACCGCCGCACAACTGCTAGTCAAAACAACTTTGCGAACATTGCCATCAGCGGCGACTGCGCGGAGAACGTTCAGTGTACCCTGAAATCGGACAGTGTAATGCGGCATTGTTCAAAACAATGCGTGGCGAATTGAAACCTCGACGGCCGTTTTTATGCAACGCTCATCGGAAACAATTGGGAATGGCGAGGCAACGTGCATAACATAATCGCATCCCGAAACAGCACTAGATTGAAAAAAAGAATAATTAATTCTGCATTAACATACACTTCATTACTTATTCCAGCAGTTCTCATTCAATAAATCGGCCACAACCAATTCGAGTTTGCCATTCTTGTCCAGTTTTTTAACTGGGTCAACCTTAAAGTTTTCTTTGTTTCAACATTATCAATCGAAAGCCTTTATATAGTCACCTTCGATTTATTGTTCAAATCGCGAACAGTTCCTCGAACGCGGTACCCATTTTTCAATAGGATTTCAACACAGTGTGTTCCGATGAACCCGGAGGCACCAGTGACGAGAACTCCTATAAAAACCAAGTACACTCCAGAAAAAATGATATTGCTTAGCCAGGATTTCAATGATGAACATAATTTTTCTAATAATGCTAATCCTCATATATTTAAAGAATAATACATATTTTCTTTAAAACATTAAATCTTGCAAAATATTTGGAATATCCAATTTTCGTTAAAATTTTTGATTAGATTAATTTTCTATTAGATTAATTTTAAAGGGGCAAATAACTAATTTCAAGAAGATAATTAATTTTTCATCACTTACTTGTTTCGTTGTTATTCATATTTGATCAATGCCAAAATCTGTAAGGAATTTCAAAAATAATAACAAGAGTGTCGACCGGATTGTAAGGCAAAAATAGTATGTCAAAAAGTAAAAAAAAAACGCAAACTATAAGACGCGACAATGTAGAACATGGAATGCCCTCAAAGCGCCGTGAATTGAGGTCATTTGGCGGCAAGCGATCAGATAGTTGTCGCAATCCCAAGTCAAAATGCATTTCACTTATATTTATTGAATTCAGATGGCAACAATTATTATAATTAAACAATATCAGGTCCGGACTTCTTCTCGAAAACCTTCACGTCATCCTCATCATCGGAAATTGAAAAGTTTTGGTTCGGGAACGATATTGCTCCATTACTATTTTGCTGCTCTTCGTTGCTTTGATTTTTTGTGGTTTCGGCTGGCGTCGATGAACCAAGACTTGGCTGAAAAAGGTCAACTTATCATCAAATTATTTTGGTAATATAACGTCCCATCCAATACCTAAACATCTAATCCCTATATAATTGCCATTTTTTGGAAATCGGTTGGCAAGATTAAAGGATTAAAATGCGCAAAACGTTCTTTTGGATTTTTTCATTTAATTTATTTTATTACTGAAAGGTAGCAGGAGTAAATTAAACAAAAACAAAGGGAAAATGTCAAAATGAATTGATAATTGAATTAATAATACTGGGTTATGAAAGACTTGAAAAAGTAATTCGTCACGGCTTACGTGGGTAAGAAATTTCAGGAAACTTCTAAATCTATAAATCTAGAAATGTGCTTGCTTTCAATTTTGAAAATTCCAAAATTAATTTTTTAAAATTAATTAGACTCTAATTATATGTTGTTAAAATTAATTTCTTTTAAATTCTGAAGTAAGAAGTTCCAAGTATTTTTTCTTGCTTTGAGAAAACAACAAAAATTTTCTAACTTCTTAGCATTTTTTTCGTACTAAAACTCAAGTTTTGAACGATAATTCAATTTTTTCAACAGCCCATATTCATTCTAAAAGTTTTTTTTCCATTCCAAAAAAAAATTTAAAGGATTATTGCGTACACGACGAATGTATTCTAAACCATCAGTTAGAGGAAATGCAAGGTTTCCAAATACATTTCACCTATTACGCGGTTGGCCCCTTGAGAATTTTCATGTTGAAATTGACTTGATGTTGTCAAAATTTCGAGCTCAATGTAGTTTTTCATTGCCATAAAACCCTCTACTTTTCAATAGTTTCGTATGACCTCTAATTTCCCTATGGATGAATTTGTGTGTTAATGCTTCCGATTTCCAAAAACGCTCAAGATTTATTCCATTTGCGTCGCGCTCCGCCCTTTCCCAGCCATTAGTGTCAATGTGTGGCCCAAAGCGGTTTTGGAGCACTTGATTCGTTTCGATTTCGGCGCATTTGTGCGATGTGCCTTTCGCCGCCGACACGAATCGAATCCCGTCGATACCAACCAAAAAAATCGGTGTCTTACCCTATTTGTTGCCAATGTCGACATTTCGACGCGCTTCTCATTAGTGCGGCTCTCAAAGTATTGGTAGCAAACGAGTCCAACTTGAAGCCACCATGAGAATAATGTCGTGAAGGCCACGATGACAGCGAGAAGAAGAAGGACTGCAAGTTTGAACTTTTCACTCTGTGCCAAGTCTCTTCTGTTTGTCTTCTTGTTCATCTTTTCTCAACGTGTTTTTTTTTTGCCATGTCTGTGTTGACGTATGCACTTTTTTTCGTTGTTTTTTTTTCAATGTTTTGCACTCTTTCTACTTACTATTTTTTTCGCGGGTCAACAATGTGGTTGACTGTTTGAAGCCAAAGAATTTTTCCGCGTTTTTCGCGTACGGGAAGAACGCAAAGAAAATGCAATGACAAATCCAAATTCCCATTGTTGTAACGGTCAGAAACTGAAAATGTACACTCTATAAACGTTAATTGTTTCATTAGAACTGAACCATGAAAACAATGAATGGAATTAAGCAGTGTTGATTTTCATGGACGAATCCCAAAATCATACAAGCCACCATAATCAATTGAAAAACCTGCAAAAAATGAAATTATACTTTTTTCCATACCATCGATTTTTGTTAAGTAAAATGGCGCGTAATTGATACTAGTTTTTGAAATTTCCGTGGATGTTTCCTATTAAAAAACTCCTTTTGTTTGAATCCTCAACTTTTAGTCATTTTGATTCCCAAAAGAACCCATCTCACTTTGCTTTGGAAGACGAATAGCACGGGAGGTACCAAAAACAGCATTGTTTCAATAATTTCAGAAACTTTTTTTAAATACTTAAATCAATTAAATTTGTCTGAAAATATAGCTTCTAATCGTAAATTCAATAATTTTTTTTTCATTCAATCGTTTCTCATAGAACGCAAACGTATTACTCAAGGCTTTTACTACTATTGTTAGCCAAAGCAAATTGTTTGAGCGATTTGGTCTTCTGTTTGAACTTTGGAGTTTGACATTTACGATCATTCAAACCAACTATCCGCACACATACATACATATGCAAATCCATATGGCGGAGTTTTAATTAATGCGAATTTTCAAATGGAAAACGCTAGCATTTTAATGTTCATTGCAAGTTCCAACAAGACCTTTTTTTGCAATAATCTCTTATTCAGAATTGAATAGCGCATTATTCGTGCTGCATAATAAATCCAAGTTGGCGTAATTAATGCGGGTGAAACGCGCTTCGTTTCCAAAACGTTTGCACCATATGTTCCTTGCAAACAAAAAAAATTGTTTATAAAAACTATTTGAAGCCAATCTCAACATCGGTTTAGCAACAGCATTCATGCGATTGATAGGTCAAACGTGTAGGCTTTCGAGAAAGTTCAACTTTTTTTTTGCTAGGCGACATTTCTCTTTGTTCTTCTATCGCCCCGCCCACTATCGAAAAACGATGTATTCGATTTCCGGCTATCTTACCGCCATCAACGCTTCCGACCATTCAATTTTCTCGCCGACCTCATCCACGAAGATATACGTACTCCATTCGCTGATCTCCAAAAACACGAAAATGATGATGATGATCAGAAGAGCGAGCTGTAAAACAACAAAAATTGTTTCTCATTAATTCACCCACTATTTCATTCCTCTATTCATTCATTCACTTCATTGAAGGTTCGAGTGGCGTCATTACACTTTCCAGTGTTCACTATATATATAATTTTTTTAGCTGCCGCGCCGCCGCGGCCGCACACTGTCGACAATTCAACCTTTTACACCAGTACAATTTTTCGCCGGGGGCAATCGCCCGATTTTTTTTTTCATTCAATCACCACAAATTCAACGCATCGCAACACATCGCAATCACCCACTCGCTCACTCACACGCACACTTGTTATTTTTCTTTTTTGCCTCCGTCGGTGCACTGTTTAAAAAAATTCTTTGATAGCAGATATCGATTCAAACACATGGTTTCTCTCATTTCCTCTCATCGACTACATAAGTGCTTTTTGATGGATATGCATTTCACAATCGTTCTTCGCTTCTTTTTTTTGCTTCTCCTTCTTCGCGACGAAATGGAGAACAAATGGTGAAATGGATTCAATCTGCTTCAGAGAGCCAAGACTAAATACACTAGCGGTCATTTATAACGTTCTAGTTTCGATTTCCTATTAGTGTTTCGCGAATAATTTCCAATATAGATATCAAATAAGATTATCATGTCAATTATTTCTAAAATATCAAGTTTTTCGGAAATCAAAAAATTTGTGCGCGCAAATTTTGTCAGCAAAAATCAGTTCATGATACACGTGACCTTGTACGGCCCACTACAATCACATCAAAACTACTTAGGTCACGTGATTTAGTAATAGCAGATGGTCTGTAGAGGTCACGCGTTGGTGATTGATATGAAGCTATTAGTCGACACTTTGCTTCTTTCTTAAGAATTGAATTTCGCGCACTTCACTGCGTTTCATAAGTAATGAGTGAAATTCTACCCGTTCGGATCCGACGTGGAAATGATACCCTTCCCACTCATTGCGTAATAATGATATGCATTGCTAATTTAGCTCATTATTGTCATATTCATCAAAATTGCTCTCCTAGAGACTCGTATTCAGCGCGCTGGCATGACATTTAAGCTAATTTAATTTAAGCACCTGACGCAAGAAAACGCAATAATCGATTTTTTTATTAGTAGTTTTTATTGGTTTCGATTTTATTAGTAAGTATTGAAAGTTTATACAAAAGTATAATGAGTATTTCCTTCTTGCCTCAATTAAAAAAAATATTTTATGTCTTTAAATCATCTGTCCGCTGCCTCGCAACAAATCATAAGCTTTCAAATAAACTTCTGGGTGTGGTTGGTTCCCAAAAATTTCGAAACAAATTAGTTTCTTTTCAATTCATCATTTTCATCCATATGACCTTTCGAAATTGCGACATTGTAAATTGCTTACCTTTACATGTATTCGTCCATTGAGCGTGTAGAATCGCGGATTGGTGGTGTCCAATGTAAATACACCAATTCTCGGCATTCTAGAAATTTGAAAATTCAACTAGTTATGAAAGCACCAATCAAAATTATTTGTGCCAAAATTGTATGCGAATGAGCGTTTGATAAGGTTTTATCAATGCTTGTTAGGTTGTTTGCTATTTCGCAGCACAATTTATTTTAACTATCGCTTTCGCCATTTCTGTAAATATTCAACTACATCCGCTGATTTCTCCTTCATTTATTGTCTCCTGAAACCGCCTCATATCGAAAACGTATTTCGCAATACTTGGCCAACCCTGCCAATATTGATGTGACGACAAGTGCGCCCCATTGCGAAAAGCTCTTCGCGTCGGAACAAGTACACACGCGATACGCAGCCATTGTCTCCCATTACATCATTCGACGATTTTTATCATTTAAACGCACTTTATCACATTTCACTCGTTGTTTATCAAAGCCTATTTGATAGAGTATTTTTCGAACTAACGGCCTATTATGATTTCAATTCATTTTCGCAAAAATTTGTGCGACGTTTAGTCGTTTGTAATTATAATCAATCGATATTATTTGTCAACGCCGCATTACCGCTGCGACTTGTTTGAGTTTGGTGCGTTGCAGAGTTTGCCGCGCGCCAATTTCGCAAAGTTCCAATGGCGGATCAAAATTGGACGTTCTCTCAACAATCGGGTGCAACATGGAACTCCAGTAAGAATTTTTTAGTTTTGAAAAAAAAAAGGATTGTTTTTAATAATTTCCTTTTTTTTTACAGTCGTGGGTCACGCGGTTTCTCAGCCGATTGCCGTCGCTGGCGCTGTTCCACAGGACATTCAGATTTCGCCGAAATCCGAATCTCTTGGACCGTCTGCAGGTGTAATGCAAATGCAGATTGTGGATAATATATGTGGATCGCCGACAACAACGGTATTTAATATTGTTTTTATTTCGTTTCTCAATGTATGTTTTTTTTTCTTTAGTCGTACAACGATTTGCCGACGCAAGTCTCCTATGACAACAGGTAGGGAGATCATTAAAATGAAATATAGGGTGCAATTATGTCTTTTAGCGATTCCAAGGATGAGTCGTTTAACAATGGGTCTTCGTTTGGGACTATACCTATTCCGATTCCTACTGAGAATCAGACTCAAGGGACTCCTGATTTCCAGGTATCTTACATCAATATTGAGTGAATTTTATTTTTTTTTATTCTAGATGACTCCCTTCTTGACGCAAGGTGGAATTGTGCTTGGCGGTACTCCATCGGGACCATATGGATGTGGATCATGGAATGCGGTGTACACTGGCCCCATATTTCAGCCTTCATCGGACAACGGAATGCCTCAAGGTTTGTCATTTAAGCAGCTGAATTGAACACGAGTGACGTTTAAGAATATCCAACTCGTGAGCCTGCGAATGCTCCGTTATCGTCATCGCCACCATCATACACGGTGTTTCCGAATGTCATGAATTTGACAAACGCATTCTCCGGAATGGGTCTTGGAGGGAATTCGACTTTTGGCGCTCCACGAGAGCCGGTTGTTTCTCAACAGCCGCCCCTTTCGAATGGTAATGATATTTGGGGTTTTATGGTTTACGTCAATCATTGCAGGTGATACTATCGCGTCATTACCTGGAAATGGCAACGGAATCTACTTTGGAAATGGAAATCAGAGTTTCTTTGGTAATAAATAGTTTGAGTAATATTCAAGGATTTCAATGATTGCTTCTAGGTGGGGGTCCTCCAGCACCAGCTACGAATGGAATCGGAGATTGGGCTCCACCGCAAAGAACATTCGTCTACCCGCCACAATCGACTCCAAACCCACCAGCGCAACAGCAGCCGCAGCAGCAACAAAACTTCAATTCCAACAATGGAGGCGCTGGAAGCAGACGGCGAAACAATGATGCTGATCAAGGATTCATCAGCATCAATCAGGATGTGAAGCCGACATTCCATCATTCGAATGGCACCGGACTACATCGCAGCTTGCTTTTGGACGACTTCCGTTCGAACCGCACCAACAACCTCCAGCTCACCGATATTTCCACCAATGTCATCGAGTTTGCCAAGGATCAGCACGGATCTCGCTTCATTCAGCAGAAACTTGAAAGAGCTTCTCAAAGAGATAAAGCGGTGATCTTTAAGCCAGTTTTGGAGAACGCTGAAGAGTTAATGACGGACGTCTTCGGAAACTACGTCATCCAGGTGAATTTTGTGCATTAAGCTTTCAAACTATTAATTAATAATTCAGAAATTCTTCGAATATGGAACTGCTGACCAAAGACAGGCGCTCGTTGAGGCGATTCGCGGAAACGTGATGAAACTCGCATTGCAAATGTATGGATGTCGCGTGATTCAAAAAGCGTTAGAATATGTCGAAGAACGCTACCAATACGAGATTCTCGCCGAAATGGAAGGACAGGTAATTCGTGATGTGTAGTGAAGTGGTTTGACTCACTAACCAACGTTCCAGGTTTTGAAATGCGTCAAAGACCAAAATGGCAATCACGTAATTCAAAAAGTGATTGAACGCGTCGAACCCGAACGCCTTCAATTCATTATCGACGCTTTTACTCAAAACAGTTCTGATAATGTAAGAGATTTAAACTGACTTGAAAATGCACACTACACATATCAATGCACTAACATTCGGGCCATATTCAATGCTTGGAAATTCACTTTGCAGGTCTACACGTTGTCCATCCATCCATATGGTTGCCGTGTCATCCAGCGTGTCTTAGAATACTGCAATGAGGATCAGAAGCGTCCGGTTCTCGATGCGCTTCATGAGCACCTTCACATGCTTGTCCTCGATCAATATGGAAACTATGTTATTCAGCACGTGATTGAGCATGGAAGTCAAGCGGATAAAGATCGAATTGTTAAGGAGGCAAGACTGGCCAGCGCATGATTCTTAATTGGTTTTACATTTTTTGCAGATCTCTGAGGACTTGTTGAAGTTTGCTCAACATAAGTTCGCCTCGAATGTCATTGAGAAGTGCCTCACATTTGGAATGCATTCGCAGAAGAACTTGCTAATTGAGAAAGTCTGCGGAGCGCCCAACGAGTAAACTATTTTTATAGGGAAAAATGATGTTGGGAAATTAGAAAATCACATTTCAGCCCATCGCCGCCATTGTTGCAAATGATGAAGGATCCGTTCGCCAACTATGTCGTTCAAAAAATGCTTGACGTGGCTGATGCGCAGCACCGAAAGAAGATCACCATGACGATCAAGCCGCATATTGCAACATTGCGCAAATACAATTTTGGCAAACATATACTCGGTAAAAGCTTAAACATTTTTGAGCCAATAAATTAATTTTGCGTGGTGTTTTTAGTGAAACTGGAAAAGTACTTCTCAAAGCAGACAACACAGGGAATGCTCAATCATCCACCATCTCAAATCTATGACCACAATCCCTATGATATTCCACTTGGGGGAGACTTTACCAATCACCATCAGCCAAGCATCCATTACTAGAATGGATAGGAGCCGCACATTTAGATTTAACATTTATACATAAATATACATACAATCACAATTAGTTTAACTCCTTGAAAAAAAACTGAATAGCGATAAGCATTAGTATTATATATAATGACTCTTTTTTCACTGCTTCATCGCTATTCCGCACCTTGTTAGTATTATGGGAGTTGTTGCACACCCGCTATACATATATACATAAAAATGCGCAAAATTTTGTTGTATACATAGCTTTTAGGAAGTATTCAATTTTTTTCATTTAATATTATTGGTTTTTTTTATTTGGATTCTTCCTTGAAATTTGATTTATCAATGTATTCTGCCGTTTGTGTTCTTTTTTTGTATGTTGCAAATTCTCAATTAGCTACACCGGCAGCACTGTATTGTTTGTTATAATTAGTAGATATAATAGATGCTTAAACGGTAGAATGAGCAGTGGCCCTCACCCATCAAAACAATATGTGAATATGTAAATTTCTTGTTGGTTGCTTTTGTTTCGGATTCTATATTTCAATATTTCTATTTCATTCTTTCGTGTTTCGTTTCTTTCTCGAACCATTTTTGTCTGTCACTCGTATATTTTAAATACGTTTTGTTAACCAATGTAACCCGTGAGATTGTACCATCTAATATTAATTTGTTTTTCATTTTTTCTTTTGCGAGTTCCTCTTTTCACAACTCAATCCCTCAATTTTATTTGTGTATTCGAACATCGACAAATGTATAGTTGTAAATCTCTTGTTAAGCATTGTTTTATGTTCATATTAGACCGGGGGAGGGCCCACTAAGCTCTTGGTTTTTTTCTATCGCCAATTTTCTTCTTCCGTTAATTCCCCCCTCCAATTCAATAATCCGTAGTTAATGCTGATTATGTTAATGCGCCGATTGCTTCTGAATATTTCTGGAGCTTTTTCGCATCTTTAGTACATTGTCTATATGGTTGTTTTGTTATATATGAACATTTTGCTCATTACTTGTGAATCTTTTTTATTAAATCGGAAACCGACCACGGAATATTTTTCATGAATCCGGAAGTGTGCAGGAAGAACGTTGCTCATATAAAGATGACCTTCGTCAGAGCAAAGATTTCGAACAGGTGTGCTCTTGAATGAAAACAGGGGTGAAATTGAGTTGTAGTGAAGCTTTTTTTAAGTTCAAAATTTTTTAAATAAGTTTTTTTAGAAAATTTCAAAAAGTATTCATAGCTTATAAAAAACTTCTATTGAGTGCCAGAAGTACCACGGCTTAAAATTAATTTTTTCTCAAGAAGCTAATAATTTCTCAAAATTTTGGTGAGAAATCTATACTAATCCTTTAAGGCATCCAGTAAAAAAAAGTAAATTAATTTCCCTTGAATTTTAATGGTCTCACGACCTGAGATATGAAGTACCTGTTCTCAATTTTTTTATTTGACCTATAAACCAGTTGCGCGCAAATTTCCTCCATACATTCGCGGTGAAACGTTTTTTTTGCCCCTTTCAAATATTTATTATGTCAACATTAAAGCTTATTGATGAAAAATTTGGGTTAGAACGTTTATTCGTTTATACAAATTTTCGATATTGCTCACTTTTGGTCGAAATGCAACATTTAAAATAAACATTTGTCATTTCGAATGCTACTTGATGCATTCTTCCTGACTCACGCCGTTTTTTTTTTCCGTCGCATCTCAACCACAACTTCGTTTTGAAACACATAATTAGAGAAGGGATCACTGGCCTTTTTTGATAGATGCGATTTGACACGCACGACAGCCAAAAATAATAAGACGGCTTCTTGATTCCCGCCGTCCAACCCATTCCAATGCCCATTCGCAATGACTATAAATGCTTTATTTCTCGCGTTGCAGGAAGTATAGACGACGCAATATGAAGCAAAATAATTGGTGCATGAACATTCTTTATTCCAATTTTAAATGCGGAAATTATCCGCTTAATAGACGGACGTTTTTGAGTGAAATACTTCATGCTAACCAGTTTCAATACATATTGCCGCAATATTCCAAATATAGGAAATAGTTTTAATCTACCTTTTTTTCAAAGGAATGCGCTGTTTGAATATAAGGCATTATTTATAAATGAAAACAAACGAAATGAGGCACCAATGTAGATATATTAATGTATAAGACGTTTCCTTCCAAGGAGAGCACGATATATTGTATTTGAACTCGTATTTTCTTGAATCTGAAAATGGGGAAAAAACGGTTTTACTTTGTTTTCTTCTTAAAACGACGTCGAAACTTCAAAAATAGTGGTTCAAATGACGATTCGATTGACGAAAAGGAATCAATTCTGGATTTTTTTTATTAAATTGAAATCTCACATTTCCATTCTCCACGCTTATCAATATATAAACCCGTCTCGAAATATTTCCCTCACTCCCATATTTATCCACAAATGCCTATTTCATCACACGTGATTTATGAGATTTGTAAATCGCAATTAATTTAAATAAATAACAGATAATTTGGGAACAAATTTGTCTGGGATCTGGGTCATTGCGAACATCCGCTGGTAAATTGGTTGGGGGGGGGGGTGTTTTTATTATGGCGTTCCTCACGACCCCCCCCCCCTCTCATATCGCGGGTCGACGACGCTTCATCGTCATGGGCGCGTTTTGCGCAAGAGGACAAATACTCTGTGTCTCATGCCGGCTGGTGCTGCTACTCGCACTCGTCCACAATTGGCAGCCGGCCACGCCTTTTCTATTGATTGTTTCCGAGTTGGGGCATGGGACTGGCCCTGGCGTTGCCCTAGCTGGTTTCGTAATATCCGCCGACCTCAATTTTTTTGCGGGGAATCAAACATATCATCATTGTTTCAAGCCGCCCATTTTGTTTTTATCGAACAGCGATATCTCCTGTCGATTCGTCGCGAAACCTCATATTTGTTCAATATCGAATTATGCATATTTCTATTATTTGCTTGCTGTTCCTAAACCTGGTTTGATAGAACATTGTGTTGTTTGAATAGTCAGCATCAAAAAAGGGGAAGGCCTTTTTTCAAATTAAATAAACAGCCGCTTTTAACCTATGCTTTGAAGAACCTCTTATTTAATTTCTTATTAAGTAACATTTAGAATTATGGAGATCGCTTTTGATTTGTCGACAATTTTCACCGATAATATCCAAAGACTCGACAAAACCCAACTTCTCAAATTCGATCCGCGTCGGTATTGGGCGGTTTCAAAAAGCATCGACGTTCTCGGTCAAATGTCTGCGAAGGTTCGTCGGCTGTCATGCATTTCAAATACTCCGCAGTCATAATGAATGCAACGAATATGTATGCGCATTTTTACAGAGTCAAGGCCTTAAAAGGATAGTGACCAGTTATGAGAAAATTCTCGATCAATATGAAGACCAGATTGTGTACATCATGTGGGAAAACCTTGCACCGTATGTCGTTTTGCGTTCATTGTCACGAATTCAATTACGCATTCAAAATTTATTATAGGTCATCTAGTCGACTAATTGGACTGCTGAAGGTCGGCTACAAAAAGCTGTACTTGACCGATGCCGAGCTCAATCAGTTTGAAGAAAAGCCGCTGAGCATACTTGACTTTTATGTGGCACAGAATGAGCAGCGAAAAGGCAATGGCTTCAAAATGTTTGATTTCATGCTCAAGGTAATATTGTGGTTAAGTCAGTTAAGGGGCGTCGATAAGATAACAAAACAGAATGATAAAACAATAAGAAACGGAAATGTTGATATCAATTTGTTTCTAAAAATAAAAAAAAACGAATTTCGGAGGAAAAGAAAAAAATTGATAAACTATTTAAGTTTCTCAAACAAAAGTCCAAGATGTTTAAAATTTGTCAGTTAATATTAATTTCGATGAGATCATGCTTCTAACTTAATATTTTTTAAACCCTTATGTTTTCATTTTTTTTTTCACTAGACAAAATTTATCCGATTAATCGATTATTGGATTAAATTCCTAATTTATATTTTTTTTAAGTGGGGAAATATATTAATATTAACTGGCCGAAAATGTATAAGTGATATTATATCTCAGCTAGGGAGACTAAAATTAATAGGAAATGATGGATGTGTGTCCTATGGGCAGCACTACGAAATAGGAGGGAAACTCAACAACGTAGCTTTTCATGTTTTTTTTTAATTGAAAAATTAATGACACAAATTTTAAAAATGGGTTTTAAAATAAATTTTTCGATATGGTATATGTATGGGTTAATTTAATAATGATTTGTTTGTTGCAGCACGAAAATGTTCCTGCCGACCAGTGTGCTTATGATCGTCCTTCAAATGCATTTCAGCAATTTTTAACAAATCATTATGGATTGAAGAATCCAAGTAAAAATAATATTTAAAAAACTTTAATTTTATTCAATTTCAGTATGGCAGACAACGAAGTTTTTAGTGTTTCCCGAGTTTTTCAACGGTCGCCTTCCAACAGTTGTGAACACCCCAAAGCCGACGGCGAGAAATTCTCGAGCAAGTTCCGCTGTTTCTAGCAGAGTTTCGAGTAGGAATGGATCCCCAATAAGTGTAAGTCACACTAGATGTTGCTTTCAAAACCACTTGCGAATTTATTCAGAGAAATCGCCCACGCCATGAGTCGGTTGCAAATGCGCTTCGTCACGATTCCGATTTTGTTGAGCGTCCCGAAATTGACCCAAATACTCCAACCGGCAGAAAGAATACCCGAGATTTTGGGCATACTCCAATTTGGTAATAAATCATTCAAATTTTTTCTGCCAAAGTGTCCAGATCTCTAATATGTATGTCAGATTTTTTTATGAATTCAATGAACATTATTTACAAGAAAATAATAAATACATAACATGTTTAATTAGATGTAACCGGTACTGGTAGAAGGAGTAAAAGGATATCAGACGCCAAAGAAGACCCGACTGGAATAGTAACCTATAATTATATACAATATTATATGTTTCTTGAGATTCAAAAACAAGCCTTATTGTAAAAAGATTCTCCGAAAATCTTCAAGAATTCTTGAATTTGAGAAACAACCTAAATCATAGTTATATTATTTTTTGCGCATTTTTTATTGTTGTACCGCAAAATATTTCATCTGAAACTTGATATGTTTCACTTCACTGTAGGTTGAAGCAATAATATCATTGACAATAATCCGGCCATTCGACGTTATCGGCGCGAAAATGCCTTTTCTTTCGGTTATAGAAATGCGCATTATACGCTGTTGGCGATATTTTCCCTAAACATTGCCAATTAAGCAAGACGCGATGATTCTAGATATTGGCCCTACTTTGTATAAAAGAATGAGGCAGTCGCCAATCTTTAATTCATCGGCAAAAACTGCATTCCGATTTTTTGGAAAATAATTGACAAATTCCTCATAGTTCTCTAAAAAAAATGAAATGATTGTCATGTCAGGATTGAAAAAAATAGACCCACCATCACATAAATTTCTGTAAACCAAATGCTTCGCGGTAACCGCCAGCATTTTACCATATTCAGTCATAATGGTATAGAATTGATATCTCTCTTCAGGCTCTCGATGCATCCAAGTAGTAATTGGTGTGAAAAATGTCTGAATTGAGGAAATATAAAATGAAGACTGCAATTGGGAAAATTTTGAATTTCCAACAAAAAGCTATTCACTATGCCGACACAATAATATTCAGTTGAGTACATTCGCCTAGTAAACACAACATTTTTTAAATATCCGATTTCATTTCAATCTTCTAACTAATTTTTCAACTAACCATTTTTTCGTTGTATATTTTTAAAAATTTTTACTTATAACTGAAAATGAAACCTTACAGCTGTCATATTGGCTGTTAGAACCATGTCGCCGACTGCAATTTGATCCATTCGCTTTTTTCCGTTTGGTGTTGTTAGCCATGTGTCTGTTGAAAAACATGCGAACGATTTTGATCCTGTAGTTCAAAAATCCGATATTCAAAAGAAATGAAAAAAAAAAACGATTCTCACCAAGAATCGGCGGCAATCGAATATAAGAGCTTCCGATAAATGATGAATCTTAGAATGTTCGAAATTAGTCAAACTTCTACTAGCAATATTTATATTACCTGGCAATAATGAGAGTAAACCATTGGCTTTGACACTGCTTGTAATTAATAGTAGTAAAGATTGAAACAGCATTTTGTTGAGAAATCGGTTAGAATATTAATTTACATAAAGTTATGCTGAAGCAACGCGACGGCTATTTATGATTCAGCCCGATGTGGCGTCAGGGGCCTGTTGAGACAAGTTTTCGAATGGCTTGATGAAATGACGAAAGCGTCCTCCTCATCCCTCGGTAGTTCACATCGAATGTTGATGGCAGCAAATGCCCAATTATGCAAACTGTACATTAGCTAAAGACAATAAATCAAGGATATTCAAGTACTTAGGCAATATGAAAATAAGCTTGGAAATTTAAATTCGCAGAAATTTTTTAGATTTAAAATATGATATGCGTACGTAACCTTCCTATTTCTCTTTTACGCCTTCCTCCACTTTCGATTGGTGAAAGTGAAAGATAAGATCCCCGGTGAAAAATAGAACATTAAAATTCTTTTTTTTTCCTATAGTGAAAAACGTTTACAGCTAAACTATTGCTTTATTGAATGTTTTTTTTTTAATATTTTTTTCTGGAAATCCGTATTAAAGATAGTGTAATAAACATTCAGTTTTTCTGAAGCTTCCAGATCAGCAGCCAGTTTAGTGTCCAATTATCATAAATTATTCTGTTCGACATGATCATAACACAATTCGCGTATTCTACAGCAACTGGTGTATGAGTTTGATCGAACCGGGGGGTTATCACGCCTGGACACGGTACGATTAAAACACAAGGAATTTGCAAAAGTTGGAATTGAAACTTTCCTTAAAAACATCAAATCAAAGCATATAACACAAATTTTTAAATTTTATAATGATCCTATTCTGTCGGTAGATCAAAATTTAATTTATCTTTCAACTAAGCTTTTTGATGCAATGTTGATTGTAAGAATTTTTTATTAAAAAATTGAAAAACCTTAATCAGTATTTATATTTAATTCTGTTTTCAATGGAAAAGTGACTTTCGGATTTTTTTCGCCTCTATTTACTATTTTCTGATTTTTGTTAGTAAGTTTTTCACATTTTTCTTTATGTCATATTGTGGACAACGCACGACCGCAGAAAATTGGATAAATACAAAAATATTATAGCAGCGGTTTTGTTTAAAGTGTAGATTTACGGCCTGAACTAAATGATATGTTAAAGGCGCTCACCGTGCACCAATATCGCCCTTAGCCAATTGTTGTATAACGCGGAAAAATTAGAAAATTTTTAGTTTGATCAAAATTCATTTCAATTTTAATACCTAACCAAGAGAAAATATAAATTGATATGCATATAAACATAAAAATATATATTTTTTGGTTGTGACAATTCAAGCGCTGTAATGAATTATGCTGAAGGACTTGGGGTAATCTTCTGAAAAATGCGAATCTTATGATGTATTGACAGTTGTGCCACATATCTTCTCGCTATATTAATTACTCATGTTTCACTAAAAAAAAGTTACAAAAGGTGTCCATATTTCAATGTAAAAATCTCTTAAAGTTTTATGCTATCTTCCTTTCCTAGTTTCGACGAGATTCGTTTCCGATCAGTTCAACATAAGGCGACATCGAAATGATATCAACGTGATAATTTACACACTTTTTAGCCGTTTTGAAATCGCCGAAATTTCCGCTATCTCTAGAAGACCTACCCGAAACGGATTGCCGTATCTCCGAACAAAAAATATCTGTTTGAAAATGAAAGGCGAATGACAATCGTGTTGCGCGTCACAAGAAGCGACGAAATCGAAAGCCACGAAGGGAACAGTTGAATATATGTACACTCGTCGATTTCTCGTAAATTCACCTCAATGATTTATCGCAAAAATTGATTTTTTGTTTCGTTTTCCCACTTCTACTTCGAAATCCAATCGCGTGGTCTATCTTTTATTTCTCTCTGAAGAATTTCCAATATCGTATAAATCCAATTATTATCGTTTAGAATCTACATCCAACTACTACCGCTGCTTCGGTTGCTGCTACTAAATTTCGCACCACCTGTGAACTATTCCAAATGTGAGTTTAATTTGAAAAAAAATTTTAAAGGTAAAAACCAACTATTCCGCACAATGTTAAAGGGAATTGAAAACCGATAAACTTATCTCGTCATTCGATCAACGTTTAAAGACTTCAAAAGAAATTCAATACGAAAATCATATGAAAACGGAAGGGATTTCAAAATTGAAATCTCACAGTGAAATATGAAAAATCCAAAAAGAAGCCTTTCTTGAATTAATTAGGGAATTCGCGCTTTCTAAAAATCACAATATTTTTATCTTTGTTTATTTGGTATTTTATATTTTAATACGGGGGATTTGCAATTTTTTTCTGAAGAGCAGATGCCTGCCACTTTATAGCTGAGACGAAAAAATGATTAGGATTTTCTCGAATTTCGAATTTAAATTTATTATTTTCTTTCCTGTTCTCGCTGATGTCACTTCTGCGTTAGTTGGAATAACCCCCATATTTAGCAATAGCAATTTGCAAGATGATTATTGAAACACCAGTAAATTTTGATCTAATTAGTATATAATAATTAAATAAATGCCATATAATTTATATAAAAGTGCTATCAATTATTTTTTGTGAAAAAAAAATTAACAAATGACGCGGAAAGCTACCACATCATTTCTTATTGCACATTATGTCTATGGAAAAAAATATAAGACGAAAATTGGAAGAAAACCCAATTGAAACAAAAATGATTTATTGCTTCAAAATATTATGCTATAATAGAAAATGGGAAGCATTCCTCATTTATTATAATATTTCATAGTTGATTTTCAAATTTCAATTGTTGGTTTTCTCTCATATAAGGATTCTTTCAAATTACACTGTTGGTTTCTTTTTCAATTCGAATTAGTGATCATCGAAACTGAAAAAATTAGAGTAAATTGTGGAATTTCCGTAAAATCGTTTCGACAATTTTAAAAACTAAGAATCTTTTTTTGATCGACAAATTTCACTTTTTGATAAGACAAAATGGTTTCGGTGACTTCTACCAAGTATGTGTATTTCTCTTTTTTTTTCGTTCGACACCAATCCTTTTTTGTACATAAGAATCTCCTTTTGATTTTCGGCAGACTGACCGATTTTGTTTTTTTTTCGAATCGTAACCGACACACATGTTATATGGGTACTGATGTGTGTGTAACTTTTCCTATCGTCCACTACATTGCCTTTTTCGCAATCTTCAAATAATCATGTACCAATGTTATTATTATTATCGCATTTCTGCCTCCCATTTCCTGCAACGAAATCAATCGGAACTGACAGCTATCACTCGACCACCACTTTTTTTCCTCACTCCGGCTCTCTAAAACATGATGCTATTTTGATGAGTGACAGATTTTTGACAAATTTTCGAAATCTTCTCGAATGGATTCAAAATGGTCAATTCATCGGAAGCTCGCATTAAATGTAGATATTCCGCCGCTAAATGTCCGGTTAATAAGATTTTCAATTTTTTTTTCCAAAAAAAAAAAGAGGAAATCAGGCATTGATTGCCAGATAATCGCTTTTTTTTCTTGTCCAAAATTCACTCATCAGAGAAGAATTTGTATGTAATGTTTACGGATAATCTTTAAATAAAAACGCGGCAGCCTGCTGGTATTCGATTCCAAGGTGGGCCACTGGTAATCATACACCTGCGTCAGGCGCTCTTATCTGCCGACAGGGCATCCCAATGAAATTTGAGCCCGTTTTCTGAGCAGCTCCATCGCTGGTATCACATAATACACTTTTTGGCATCTCCTCCCCCCACCCATTTAACACCCAATTTTTTAAAATCAGATTCTCTTCCTAGCATAATCTGTTCTATTTACTAATTTGTACTTATGAATGGAAATTGCAATTTGGCGGATTAAGAAAGCTCAGGGAATCACTGTGCACTTTTTCTTCCTCTCGTTCATCCCCGTTTTTTCTATACGCGCTTTTCATTATTATTATTATTATTATTATTACTATTGATGTCATTTATTCTCCAGACAATCCCTCCCTTTTGAAACTTTATCTGTTTATATGCATATCTATACAAAGTGTATTGTTTTCCTTCAGATTCACAATGAGATAATAATATTGCGGTGATATGCATAGTATCCTAATCAGGCCCCAATGTCCCGAACTTATAATTTATGACTGCACGCGGCTGGAACAAACTCGACCGTTCCATCTCATCCGATTCTCTCTTCTTACGATTTGACCGCCATTTCTATTCTGTCGTCGTACTTGGTGCCTTTCAATATGCGTCTCACAGTCGATTCCCCCACTCTAATTTGCTCTATGCTTGATCCATCTTAATATGACTGCACTTCATCAAAAAGCTTTGGTTAATTAATCAAATAGGATTAGCTATACATAGAATTCAATGAGTAATATTGATTCCATGAATATGTCAGCGATTCCCGCAGAAAAAAGAACGCTCTGAAAAGTTCGACATTTTGTCGAATTTATCCCTTCCTAGTAATCACGTCAACCTGAGTACTTCATTCATAGAAATTGGGAAAAGTTCAAAAATCGCCAATCCGGATTTGTAAATAACCATGAACCGATTCCAAAAAAGGAATGGGAGGTTCCGGTAAATTTTTTGAGAATTATCAATTGCTTGGAATTCAAACTTAAATTCGTCAATTAATGAAATACGTTAATTCAAACGATCAGTCGTCCCAAATGTATGCACTCTCCAAATATTTCAATAGAATGTAACATAAAAATAAATGAATGTCGCTCTGCAATGTGGATTTTTATTTTGAAAAATTCCCTAATCTTTTCGGTTTTTTAAAGCTCTTGATTTTTTTGCCACTTTTCGAAATTAAACGTAATAGCGGGAATGTTTTAAAAAAATTCCGTTGCCAATATATTTTTATTCATTTCCATTTGAGAATACTCTTTTTTTTTAATATTGACAAATGACTTCTGATATCTGGGACCACTTCTCACAATTTTCTAACAGAACTCTATTCGTCAACGAGTCGGATTTGCTCGAGCCCATTCCATTCCAATCGCGCATATTTAACCACATAATTGTTTATAGCCATGCCTCGTTTCGCGTTT